TCGTTGAGGTAGAATTTCATGATTTGTGCATTGCTAGAAGGAGATCCCATACTTTTTCGCAAAAAGACTGTAAAAAAAAAGGTGTGAATTTCGCTCTCAATGGCATTGCATCTCTTGCAAGCTGTTGCGTTGATACCTCTATGTGATAGTCCTTCACCTACCGGTATGGCTTTTTTTGCCAGCTTCCACAGGAAGATCTTTAACTTAGAGGAGGTATCGACATTTCAGAAACAAGACTTCCAACTAAACTGATTTATCAACGTGTTTGGGCAGCCTCGCTCCACTCCCCCTGACAGATTTGATGACATAGCATAGTGGAATAGCAACCTATTTTCTCCGGCAACCAAACTCGAGTGTCTTCCATGTTATAGGAGCTGGTGGGCAGTGTACAAACTGTTGAAAGGTAGATCGACGAACCTTTAGGGTTCTAGAGACCTGTTCTTGAATCAATCAAAGAGTTTTTTGTGATAGCTTCTTTGAGACCAACTTCTTGATAGATGAATTTAACCGTATCTCACAAGATATAAGCAAAAGCTCTATTATTAATTATCAAAGTCTACAAAACATAAAGCCTCAGCTCTGTTTATCTAACCTCTCCATTAGAAAAACCTTAGCAGAAAAAGGATATTATAAACCTAATCTATAAAAAGAAAATAATCATAATTATCTAAGAGAAAAAAAAAACTAAATCAAAAAATGAAAAGCTATTTGAATCCTCTATTGTTATCGTTATCTTGGCACTATATTCAAAGATGCTGCTGCATCAGTTCCTCTGGGTTTGAAAGATTTGACTTTGAATCGAAATGAAAATATCTGCTCCCAAACTTCCAATAGAATAATCCTCGTTGTTTCAAATACACTTTCTGCCAAACTCTCCATGTCCTCACAATAAGCTTTAATTTCCACATATTTAGCGTACCTTATTTCATTACAAATTAAGAGGTCACCGCATAACCAAGAGATGTTGTAGAGTTGGTCGTGACGTTGAATACGCCTCCTAAGCTCCCTATCAACCGCCATATTATGTGAGAAGATGTGAACAAACTCAAAAGCACCATTCCTGAATACGAGGTATTCCTACGGAAAAACACGTGTTCATCCAAGACACACAAAAGCTTATTTGACTTTCAAGTAACATCACTCCGTGATACACTAAAACTGAACCTTTCCTATTGTCAAGTTAACAGTGATAATTTTAGTATTTATGATTCAATCCAGTGGACCAGTTCACACTTCAATTCTATTAATTTTCTACTAAGCTAAAACTCAAGGAAATTATGGATTGGTTTGAAGCAAGGAATAAAATAACAGTTGCAAATTATGGATTCAAGATATTAAAAGAGCTGGTCTGGGGTTTCTTATCGGATGTTAAAGCTGAGCCAAACAATTATTCAAGCACAAAATATCACATTTTAGAACTAGGATCACACGAGAAGAACAATCCACTGTCGTAGTATTGCTCCCTTTGGAGATCGGTCTGAACACCTAAACTCTCGATTGTGCTCAGATCCGTTAAAGAAGCAATATAAGTCAAGTCCAATAGGTTCATCTAGTACCCCAGTATCTTCTCTCGCTGACTGGGGATGCTAGACTCATTCACCCAACAATCAAGTTATCTATTACACGGTTAATGAGTAGAACAACCCTAAATCTAACTATAAGTGATCAGGTTAAAGCAAGCATTAAGAATTAGATGAATGAAGATACAATATGATTGCTTATCTATGTCAAGCTCATGCGACTAACATTCTAGAACCCTAGACAAGCCAGCGACTACTCAGCCATGGAACAAGATGACAAAGACATAGTAACTGAATGATACTGCATAAAATTCCAAAGAGAAATAGATAGGGTTCAGGATGATCTTCTTGTCGAGAAGAGTAGCCGTCTCCCTTACAATAGCAAATCGCCAAAATATGTCTAGGTCTCTTGCAAAAACTAGTGTAAGAAAATAAAACTAACTAGGATAAGACATGCGCCTTGCGCAGGTTGAATATATGTAGTTAAAATATAAAATTTTATTATTGACAAATTTAAAATTTACATATGATTGTTTTTATATGTATTTGAAATTTTAGATGGAATTTTTATATAATTATCTATACGTAGGATCAGAAACAATTGTAATTAGAACTGTAGATCAAAGCTTAGAATTTAATGGATCCGACTTCACATATCATTTCACTTTTCAGTGTTCGAGTGATGGAAAATAAACGGAGTGTCACTGGGCTTGATTGGTAGAATATTAGCAAGTTCTCTCATGTTTTCTTAAGAAGCAGTTGGTAAAATGTTTTCATTTAAAATATATAAGTTTCAAAACTAATTTAATATAATTTATTTATTTGTCTAAAAATATTAGAAAATTATATTTTTTAGAATTTTTTTTAAAAAAATAATTTTATGAAAATTAAGTTAAATTTTAACTTATTTTTAAAAACAATATTTTAAGTTATTCAAATACAAATAAACAATTTAAAATTAGTTATGGTCATGATTTAACATAACCATAATGATTTTAAAAAATTTAAAATTTAAAATTAACAAATTAAACATTAAATCTGTTTTATATTATGATTTAACAATTTAAAAACTAATTATGGTTATAAGAAGTTTACGTTCACGTGTCAATCCTATTTATCTTCAATTTTTTCTCTTGTTGTGTTTTTTTTATATTTTGGTTAATACTCGATATAAATATTTATTTTGAAGTTTATTCGTGTTTCGTTTGTTTGTTTTGACCTGAGATTTAGAAAGTACTTAAGATTTAAAATAATTAAATAGATATATACTTAGGTTAAGATCTGCACTTTATGCACAATAAATATTTTATATTTATTTTATATTTTTCTGCATATTATAAAATAATAAAATAATAAATATATATATTAAATAACTAAGAAATCAGTTACTATTATTTAATAAATTGGCGTATGCATATAAATTTAACTATCACTCTTGTTTATTCGTAATTAGGGTAAATAAATCAAAATAATCAATCTTATATATTTTATATGATATATAATTAAATATAAATGATATAAACATATTAATATAGCACACTTTTAATATGGATATTTATTAAATGAGGTTTCTACTCATATGATTTTATGATTATTTGCATATTTGTGTAACAAAACTTTACACCAACGAATTTTTTTTAATTTGAGATGTTTAGTAGTTTCAATCATTTATAATCATTTTTTAAAAAAATTGACATATTTCAAAATTAAAATATTAACTTTTCAATATATGTTCAATGTAAATATCAAAATATAAGTATGTATTTTCATACGATGTATAGTTTAATTAAAAGGATATGAAGTATATATAAATTAAAATTATTTCTTCATATGGTCTTATAATCATTATATTTTAATATAGAAAAAAAAAATTAAAACCTTAATCCTAAAATTTTATGTGAGACTTTTAACAGTTTTAGTAATTTATACTCATTTTAAAAAATTTGAAATACAACATACACAAAAAAATCTAGATTTTTATTATATGATTAATGTAATTGTGTAATTTATTTTAATAATAAAGAAATAAACAAAATGAGAAAAAGTATACAGATTGTTATCAAATCTTTATTGTTTAAAATCATTAATTGTCATATATATATATATTAATCACATTAGGTAATTCCGTAGATTTTATTTAAGGAAAGCATGCGAAACAATAAATATTTGATATATGCGACCAACTATAGCCTACGAAATATTATATTGTTAGAGCTTATAAATTTTAGACTATACATTATATCACATGCTCTAGAATCCTTGGAATTTGAAATTTAAACCAAAGAGCTATGCCACATAGGATTGGGGTTATTTTTAATTATTACAAACTTAAGGTTATAACTTTTTAAATGATTCTCAATTAATATATAGGGGATGAAAAAAACTCTTTTTATAAGGAGGCGCCCTCCACTTCCAGAGAGGGAAAAAGACTAGGGTTTTGTGTTCAAAAGATAGTGAAGTTTCCATAAATATCGGGAGCAGTCTTCGATTGCTCCGCATGGACTGCTCGCGCTGGGGAACATGCATCTGACTGCTCCGTATGACTGTTCCACAAGACAAGACTATGATTCTTACATCTTTCTTCATGCACCTTCCTTCAGCTCCATAACCTTCCAGATGACCTAATTGACTCAAAACAACTGGACTGACTCAAATAAATACTTAAAACCAGTTAGAAAACACATATACAATAGTGCTAAAAACACTATATATCAATTCCCTCAGACTTAGATCCTTGTTTGTCCTCGAACAATGACAAGTATCCAGAACCAGGAGAAATGTTTGAAGGAGTGGGAACTCTCATGTTTTCAACAACCATACTCTTACCACAAATCTCTGAACCATGCAAACTTCAACTAAGACCACACACTCTTCTCAGAACCCTCATTGATCGTTGTTCAAAGTCGGCCCATACTCTACATCTTCAACCTGAAAAGGTACACTATCGAGACAAAACTCCCTACATTCATTAAGGATGGTGTGAGCCTCTTATCATGAGTACTATTTAGGGTAGACGGGCTAGGTGTAGAACATGCTAATTTCAGTGTTTAAAGGGGAACTAAAAAGTGTTTAGGGTATACCGTGACTTTGTAGAGGATGCAGGCTATTGCACAAAATTGCAAAAGAGGATGGATCAATTGATCTCCATAGACCCTACTCATTTTCTCTGCAGAGCAGTCGCTACTAGCTTCTCTTTGACAGATTGATCTCCTTTAGATCACCCTTCTTCACACTGTTCCACTTTTACTTCAGCTTTGCACTCACCAATCAACCAGGGCACTGTTTTCCTTTTCGTTCTTCTCCTTCTCATCATCTTTCAGAACTCTTGAGACTTGAACAATACTGAATTTTTTTTTTAACTGAATGAGGGAATGATGAGTTCAGATGATAACGATGACGAGAAGAAGGTAGTTACATATGGTGTGCCCCCGATCATTTACTTGTTATCACCAAACTCGGTTCAAACACCTCTCATCTCCGATGCCAGCCGTCGCTGATATCTCGGACCTAACACCTTGCAAGGAGTCGAAACAGTTCGCCAAGAGGGAGAAGCAACAGATTAAGAAGCTCGGATCATCTCTCAAGCTCTACGCTCCTGAGAGTGCTCCTGCTCTTGCTCTTAACGCTCAGATCGAGAAGACCAAACGCAGGTACGTGTATCACTATGATAATGATTATTATATATATGCTCCATTTTTCATCTTTAATCTTTGATTATGTTTGTTGTTAGGTTGGACAACTACGGCAAGTACGGACTTCTCTGTGGGGCAGACGGGCTACCACACCTGATAGTGAACGGAGATCAGAGGCATTTGGGAGAGTTTATAACTCCCGGACTTTTGTTCCTCTACATTGCGGGATGGATAGGGTGGTTGGGGAGAAGCTACTTGATAGCGATTAGTGATGAGAAGAAACCAGCTATGAAAGAGATCATTATTAATGTACCATTGGCTAGTCGTCTCATCTTCCCTGGTTTTATTTGGCCTGTTGCTGCTTACAGAGCGTTGCTCAATGGCGATCTCATTGCCAAGGATGTCTAAGACACAAAAATCTATGACTATATTTGATCCTTTTTTTTTCTTTTTTTTTGCTTCGTATGTATTTTTAAATTCTTCCCTATCAAAGAATATATCTCTGCAGTATGGGATCTTTTTATTTGGATTAATAGTTGAGAATCCTACATTGGGAAATGACAAGAAGCCAAAAGTTATAGATAAATTACATGTTTGCTTCATTTTGGCAACATCGAACTTTTCAGGACAGAGGTTTGTGAAGGTTTGTACCTTAAGGTGTTTAACAGGGGACATGAGTGCTTGCTACGATACTAAAAACGGTGGTAACTGGTGGAAAACGGGGGTGCGCGCTTGATAGGCAATGTGCTCTGACTACGTTTATTTCGCTAGGTTTGAATCATCTCAAAAATGGGCGGTCCAGTAGAATTTTTTATCATGAAAATGAAAGATATTCATCACGAATAGCCAAATCCAAGTAATATATTTAACGCATGATCTTATATCGAACAAATTATTGGCAAACCAGCTGAAATAACATCATAGTAACCAAAGCAGGAAATCCAAATTGTATTCACTTAGTTCTCATGGATTCAACCAAAGTCATAGAAAGGAAAGTATGGAGAAAGAGTTGCTACTCAGAACCACCCCTAAGAGCAAGGACCAGATGAAGAACAGAGCCTCCCTCTATGTTGTAGTCCTTTGCCGTTTTGTCATCAGCTAACTGTTTTCCTGCGTAGATGAGCCTGCAAACATCCATGTGAGTCATTTTTTTTATAGGTAATAACTTGAAACACAACAAATAGATCACACACAGAGCATAGCATAGCAGAGCAGAGCGACTGGTGACAGAAAACACATACAAAAACACAGGAGCTGCAGATTTTAACTAGAGCTCTGCGCCATACAGATATCACTCTCACTCACTAACACAATAAAATAGAGTCGCAAACAAGTTAATACAGATCGGTTTTGAAGCTGACTCAGAAAAAAGAGACAAGAACAACAATAAGGCTTGTACCTTTGTTGAACAGGAGGGATGCCTTCTTTCTCCTCAACACGTTCCTTGATCCGATCAATAGTATCGGTTGGTTCGATATCAATCTCGATTTCTTTACCAGTGAGGGTCTTGACCTTGATCATGGTCCCACCCCTAAGCCTCAGAACCAAGTGAAGAGTGGACTCTTTCTGAATGTTGTAATCAGCTAACGTTCGACCATCCTCGAGTTGCTTCCCAGCAAAGATGAGTCTCTGCTGATCTGGTGGTATCCCCTCTTTGTCCTGTTCACAATCAAGATTAGCACTAATAACTCAATCCCTCTTCTCGCAAGCAATAAACTAGCTATTATTCTCAAATCGAGAATCCAAAACCCTAGAAATTCTACAAAGCAGAGAAGCCTTGGAATTGGGATGATAGAATTGGGCACCTGGATTTTGGATTTGACATTGTCGATGGTGTCGCTGCTTTCGACCTCTAGGGTTATGGTTTTTCCGGTCAAGGTTTTCACGAAGATCTGCATCTTTTCTTTTCTTTTCTTTTTTCGATCCAAGATTTTTTTTTATTTATATACTAGGATTAGACCCGCGCCTTGCGCGGGATAAGATGATTAAAATTGTTGTATTTTTTAAGATAAGAAGACACTATATCTGTTTTATTTGCATATTAGTTTATTTTGGATTGGTTGTTTCGGAATGGTTGTTTCGGATTTTAATATTGTCTAATTATATATATATATTATAAATATTGTCTTTTTGGTTAAATTGCGATTTTGATTTTATGGTGATAACACAAAAACTAAAATTATCATTGGTGCCTCGTCCACAAGAAGGGTGTTGTCATTAGAGCATTGGGCAAATCATCACAATTCCTCATGCGTGTTGTCGACAGAAAGTCAATTCTGTATGGATGTATGGTTGTTCGGTACGATCCACAAGAAGGGTTTAGTGAAAAGTTGATGAGAATCTTTGAACTTCCTTATGAAAGGAATGAATCGAACTGACTAACCAGATCTTTTTTGACAGTAGCATTAATTTTAACACCCTACAAAAAGAACAAATATAGTCAAAAATTATATAGGTTCATTAAACATACTAAATATTACTAACGTGAATAATAAAGGATCGATGCTTACGTTCTCATCGATTAGAACCATCTCAATTGTTTCTCCACCGACTGCAGAATACTGCTTCCACAAACGAATGATCTTTACCCTAATCTTCCACATAGACTTGAACAGTTTCAAATCTGACACAGCAGTAAACGCAGCCATTACAGAAAGATGAGTGAACAATAACTGGGTTTTCGTTTAGGTTATGAGTCCTAATGTGCAGAAGAGCGTTTATTATATAGGGGATAATCAACCTAATGGACTTGCCGCACAAGATAATTAAATGTAAAGATCCTTGCCTTGGTGAGTAATTTACTTCGACCACAAGAATGTAAATATTGCCTTAAACAAAACTTTTTACATAAATGAGAATGACCTATCGTCATTAATAACCCTTGCCAAACACTCATATACTGCGAACCAAAATTGAAACATTAACCGTTTCAATTCAAAGAAGCGGTTTAACCACCAAAAAAAAGAGTTCTCGGTTTAACCAAAAAAAAGGAGTTCTCGGTTTAAACAAACTCATCCCTTACATATTCGGAAGTTCATGCTACGTACACGAAAATTGCTTTTTATATATTTCCAGTCAAGATAAGTCTTTGTGTCACATTGTTGAAGACGAAGATCGTTAGTGTTTGAATTACAACCATCAATCAACTCCCTTATATGACTAATAGATTTATGTTGTCTCTTAACTACAACCATCGACATTTTTATATTTCCAGGCAAGGAAGTGAAATAGGTCACATTTTATATATTTCTTCATCGTCTCTAAGATTCTTATCACTTCCTTGTCTCCATACTGTTCTCAAACGCAACAAAATTTTTGTACAGCTCATCTCCTCTTCCGACACGATGTCTACAAACTTGTAGATAGCCCTAACATGTTCCACTTCCTTGCAACGTTCTTCAAACTCAGCAAAGGCTACAGAGAGTTGTTCTTCATCAGCAGCTCTAAGATTCTTAACTGTACGTTCAAGTACATGACCCTCGTACGTGCAACTTCACCTCCCTTAACCTCAACCTATGCGTATTGGATGTAAGAAGAAGGTTTCAGATGACTAAAATATCACATCATGCAACCTGTATGAACACATCGATGCTTCTCTTCGATTTTTCTTTTATGAAGTCAACATGTGAACATCTTTTCATGAACCTCTACGTGCAAGAGACATCGAGTTAGTCTATGGGTTTTAAACGACTTATGGTTTATGGCCTTCTCTCATCCTGAGTTTTTTTCAAGTGTATAAACAAATATATAATACAAACTAATTCTCGTCATAGTGTTTGTCGAAAGTGTTCTCGTCATAGTGCCTCCGAACTTGTCGTAATTCTCGTTTTTTTGTAGTTTTAAAGTGTCTCATGTGTTTTAAATAAGGAAATAAATTGTGAGAAAGTTGTAAATAAGGTAATAAGGTAATAACTTGTGAGAAGGTGGTGTGAAAACATTTAATGCAAAATGCTTCTCTTTTAATATATAAGGGATTTCGCTCTTCTTTAGCGTTGTCAATTTATATACGCCAAAGTCATCGGGGAAATAAGAAAATAGAATAGTTTGAAAAATCTATTCTATTAAAACAGCAGTGTGACCAATTGATATTAGTTGTGTCCAATAATTTATTTATTTTTATTCAAACATAAAACAAATTATATGACTTCTTTTTCGACAACCATAACTGTAACTATTTTTCTAAATAATTTTGCAACCTCTACTTTAGTTCCAAAATTTTAGGAACCACTTCCCCCAAAGACAACCACGTTTTGTAATATTGACTATTATTTCTTCATTTTAGTTCATACCAAATGGCAATGCGATGATTTTATATATTATACTAAAAATCATAGTGTAACCTTTGTGTCAATTGCTATATTACTCCACTTTCAGATATATAAATTATTCTTTCTTTTTGGTTTGACTATTAACCTACTAATCTATTCGATTAGAATTTACATTACAATAACATAACTTACATCTCAACCCAAACAATAAGGATTATTTAATCAGACATTAGTTCATTCAAATTTTAAATATTTTACACAGAAATTAAATTTATAAATTAACAAAGCACATGATGTTAAAAATAAGGTTAATGGGGGTTTAAGTGGAATTTTAATAGAATTAAATATTCGTATAAAATCAATTAGTTTTATGGGTTTTAAATAGATTATTCGATTAAAAATATTTATTAAATGTGATTTTACTTAAAATTAGTGAAGACCATATTAACCAATTTATATATATACAAATATTTAATAGAATATACTAAAAATTAATTCAAACCTTTTTCAAAAAAATTGTTTGGTTTCCATTACGGGTTGAATTTGATATTAGTTTTTGGATACGGCATTTTAAGAACCGTTCGAATATATAAGAAAGGTCTAATAGAGTATGAAATTTTGATTTTCAAGTTTATTCTGAACAGATATTTGAGTTCAAATATTCTTAACTAATTATGTTTGGTAGTTACTAAGAAAATATAATGTGTTGCAACTTTTAGAAATAATGTTTAAATATAATTTAAGGAATACATATGGCATAAGTGTATAGTTATGCAAATTGAAATATTAATATAGTTACCAAAATTATATTAAACACAAATATGATTATAAAAACATAAATATAAAAATTAAACTTAAAAAAAAAAACAAAAATATACCCGCCCTTTAAAAATAGGGTTAACGGGGTTTAAGTGGAATTTTAATAGAATTAAATATTCGTATAAACTCAGTTAGTTTAGCGGGTTTTAAATAGGTTATTCGATTAAAAATATTTATTAAATTTGAATTTACTTAAAATTAGTGAAGATCATATTAACCAATTTATATATATACATATATTTGATAGAACATACTAAAAATTAATTCAAACCTTTTTCAAAAAAATTGTTTGGTTTTCGGTATGGGTTGAATTTGATATTA